ACCTTGTGGCTGCCTATAAGTTCATCATGGGGGCACAGAAGGGAATTGGTGAGGTTTTATTCACCAAGGCGCCCCCGGGGGTTACAAGAAATAATGGCCACAAGCTAGCAGAGAGCAGATTTAGATTGGACATTAGGAAGAACTTCTTCACAGTTCGAGTGGCCAAGGTCTGGAACGGGCTCCCAAGGGAGGTGGTGCTCTCCCCTACCCTGGGGGTCTTCAAGAGGAGGTTAGATGAGTATCTAGCTGGGGTCATCTAGACCCAGCACTCTTTCTTGCCTATGCAGGGGGTCGGACTCGATGATCTATTGAGGTCCCTTCCGACCCTAACATCTATGAATCTATGAATCTGCAGCCAGGGGGAGCTAGAGCCAGCAGTATAAAAACCTACCCTGTGCTGGCCCAAGCAGTATAAAAACCTACCCTGGCAAGTAGCTCAGGGCTACTTGCTCTCAGAATCTCCTGGGCCTTGGCCACTTGGTACCCAGGGACTCTACCCCTTGTGGCAGCGGGGTTGTCACTCTTTAAAATACCCCGAAGTCCATGTTCTTCCACAATTAGAACAAAAGACCACTCTATCTATCTATCTATCTATCTTTTCTAATATAATAAAAGCCTTAGTCTGCCTGTCTTCTGTCTGTCTGTAATACTTTATTTGCACTCTGACTGGTTGTCTCAGCAGCCAATCACAATGCTGACTGAAACAACCAGAGTGCTCCAAGCAGAGCTGACCCAAGCAGGGTGTGGGGCCCATCAGCCCATGTGAGGCTCCACCCCCATCCCTGCCCCAATCTCACATGCCCCAGACTCAAAGAAGCCGATGGCAGCATCAGCGGTGAAGCGGGGGGAGAAGCGAGCGGCCAGATGCTCCGCCCAGCTCCACAGGGCCCCCCAAAGCACAGGGCCTGGGGCGGTCACCCCAATTAGCATCCCCCCAGGGACAGCCCTGGCTCCAAAAGCACTGCAAACAGGAGGCGATGGTGGAAGTGCGGTGGAGCACCACCATGATGGCAGGGACAGAGGGGATGGAGTGCTGCTGGCCTCGCATTCCCTCCACCCTGATCCCTGGAGGCAGCGATGATGGAGCAGATGGAGTGGGGGGTGCAAGGCCAGCACCGCTGGCCTCACCCCCCACCCCTGTTCCCTGGAGGCCGCAGCAGCACGGGGTGCTGGCCGAGCAGGATGGAGGGGATGGCAGGGCAAGTCTCCTCCCTGCCCTGCCCCCACGGTCCTGGGAGGCAGCAGTGCAGGGTGGTGGGTGGCAGCACTCTGCCCCACCCGCCCCCGCTCATTTCCAATGAGCAATTGGCTAGTGTGTGTGTGTAGATAGATAGATAGATAGATATATTTAGAGAGAGAGAGAGATCAGCTGGGCCATGCTTTAGTGCTCTATTTACAATGTTAAAGTAATTTGGAAGCCTACAGGTGTCACTATCATCATAATATAATAAATTCTAAACATCAATATGTTTTGATGCTTGCTTTTGGTTTTCTTATCACACAATGGGTGTGTGATGGGGGGATGTGGGGTTTGCAGGAGAGGGGTGGGAAGGGGTGTGGGGG